CCAATTTATATACTTATCAGTTCCTGGGGCATCAATCTCTAGATTTTTTAGTGCGTTTATAGCTTCTAAGTGTGCTAGGTAATTTGATACCGACTAGATATGCTTTAAGATACTAGATAACTTTCAAATAATAGTTTTATATTAATATAATATGCAAAAGCATCTATATCATAAAATAATAATGAAGCAAAACAAGTTCAACAAGCGTCATATTCCCTGTCATAGAATTTTTAATTAGATTCTTGTTCATTTAACCCGCCAATTTTTTATGAAGTAGCTTATCCATCAATTTTCGGGGCTAATGGAAAGTATTGAACTTGGTTTTATTAATATAATTTTATTTATACTAACTTATTGAAGCTCAGTAAATGTAATTTTAATGTATAGATAGTCGTAAGTTTAAGAAGCTTCACGCTCATAACCAATTTTGGCTACTTTCTTTAAAAGATGTGATGTATATATGAGGTGTAATCACTTATCTCGTTTATGGTGATGAGGGGACTGGTAGTTGAACTTTCCTATCATGATATGAGTAGACCTCACGTTTCCATTGAATTTCACAGATTGCGTCCCGAAAGGTGGTCTTATCCAGGGTAAACTACAGTTTTGACCTCACCTACGTCTTATCAGAATCATTAGCAGGATTCAAACAATGATGGTGTAGTGTACAACCGCGGCACTTTAGCCACTATACCACATTAAACGAGTGCCACCTACCTTTACAACGAAAAATGTGATTTTTGAGTTAATTTATAGTAGCAACAGCTAACCCATTTGAATTTATTTGTGGATCTATTTTATAATTCATGTAATACATTTGAAACTTTAAAACCACAAATAAATCATAGAATTCAGCACTGTTAAAGATTTATCCTTCCAAAATGAACACTCAAATGACCAATAATAATAAATAATCTGCACGAATAAAAAATTACTTTCAAGTTAAAGACCAAATGTAATATAATTCTTTTTTTGTTCTGAATTCTTTTCTTTTGTATAATTTATTGCCTCATATTTATCGTCAGCTTTTGTTCCGGTGGTTTTCTTGTTTTGGATATATCTATTAAATCATATGCAAAGTACAGCTCGTAGAATTGACTAAACGAAGATCAGCTGCCTTTAGTTTTCGGTAGGACCAAAAAATGTCTCTCTTTATTGTTAGTTTTTGCAGCTCATGAGAAATGACTATTGGGAGGCTGTCTTTAAAATTTTTCTATAAATAATAGGTTTTTCAGTGAAATATCACATCAATGCAGCACATCAAAGTCTATTATTTAGTAAGTTACAATGAGCCAATTAAAATTTGTTAGTAAGCGATAAAAGCTTTGCAATTCACAGCCTAATATGTTAAATATATAAATACAACTATGTTTACTCAAAACTGTTGAATGTTTATTTTCGTGCTTAATTGCAATTTGGGTCAATATAGTTTGATGATACCTAATTTAGGAAAGTTAAAGGTCAAATATTTTAAGAGATTGAATACATTAGATCTAACAAAACGAATAATTTTAAGTATATACGAGTAAAACTAAGCCAAAGGATCTAAATTTATAAGGCATGTAAATAATGTTGCATAATAAAAATCCAAACAGGGTATATATCAATTAGGAACAATGCGATCGAATAAGGAGGTTTGCAAGCATAGTTCATTTAAAACGCTAAATATATTGAATTCGTTCAAAAGATATATAATACCTATATTAAAAAATATTATGCAAATATTTTTCCTCTAAAAGGAACTTAAAATACTGTTAAATAATATGACCTTAATTCCCTACTAAACTCTGATTTCTTTAACTAGATTAATTAGTTCTTATGCATTACTTACGAAGCTCAAATTCGCTGACAAGAGGAATAATAAGAAGGTTAATAAATTAAGCTAATCACGCTAAATTTACAATAAATCGAATAGCGAAATAAGATGTGTGACCCTTTGAATATATGAGGCAAAGTTAGAAGTCAATAGGAGACTGTGAATAAAATAAAAGCCAAACATCATGGTCTTTATTCATGTAAATGTATAAAGTAAAGTTAACTAAAGTCGATTCAGTCTAATGAGTAAAGAACAAAACTAATTTACTAGGGCTGGCTGAATTTCACGTAGTGAGCTAAAATATTGCCCTTTAAAATTTAATCAAAGGATCTCTAGTACAATAACTAAATCCATAAGGTAATAGTAAAATATGAAATAATTCCTTATATCGTAAATCAATTAGCAACCCTAACAGAAACCCATTAGTATGTATGCACTCCTGACTTGTTAGCCAAACTAACCATGCCGAGATAATGTAAAGAGTAAAAAACGCCTATTTATAATGTTTCCAAAATTTCATCACATAAAACTTGCAACTTTAGCTTACTATTATTAAAAAAGGGAGTGAAAAATGCCATCAAATAGCTTAATATTTGCATAGATAATCAGAATTTAGGTTATATGCTTAAAAATTACATGAAATTCTTGAAATTGTCTAAGAATAAATGTGAATCTAAATGCTAAAAGACTTAAAAATCCTATATGATGATTGCGAACAATTAAATTGTATTTATGCTTAATACTTTATTTAAGTTGATTTTTAATAAGATGTTTAGATTAAGCATCAATTTATCATTTATCTATTGAGAATAATAATCTAGTCACCCTAGGTTCCTTAACGTTCCTTAACACACTCACAGGCATTGAAGTTGACATATGACCTTAACTAACCAAGTCACCTTATACTTGATCAAAGAGGCCAGATGTAGAATATATATACCACTTTTTAGGGATTTACCGGTGAGTTTTCTTGACTCATTAGCTTGAATTTTGTTGTGACGATGTTACGTCGCTCTAATGATGTCCGTCATATGACGGACAAAGGCTTAGCACCTGTTCACCGGAATCGAAGGAGATTGCCTCGGAAACAGCGTCAGCATGAATCTTCGAGTAAAGCCAATCTACAGCTGTTCAAGAGGAATCCGCCGTCGTCTTCTGTTGGAACCGACCTTCGAATCTCTTCACCTAACACTTTTACTCGAAATGAAAGTAAGCTCAACAATTATTCATTTTTTGATTGCCAGCTTCACAATGCGCTAGACAAAGACGATATTTAATCTGCTTTGATATTAATACTTTTTCAATTAGGTCCCTGGCTTTGGCACAGTTTCTTTTTTCTTTGATTTTTGCGAATTGGGCGTTAATTACATAAGTAACGGAAGTGTGTATAGTAAGGAAATCTTACAAATGAAACTTCTTATTACTAAGGCAAGTAAAGCTTATGAACCATCTTCATTTTGAACGCTCAAAAAGAGTAAAATAATTTCAAAAGTTGACATATGCTAGTACAGAATGTCATATTGCCATAAAGATGCTTTCATATGAGGAGAGAGTGTTTAACTTAAATAGCCAAGGGCATAAACAAAAGGCTAAAAACTTCTTTAACAAATTATGAATATATGTTCCTAATGTGATAAGAAGCATCTCCTTTCAGCCCCTAGCGAGATTTTTTTTTAATTTTTGTATGATACAATATTTTAAAGAAATATGCATGTTTGAATGTCTGCTTATCTATCATGCATTGTTATGTTTAAGCCCTACTGCTTCATATAAAAGTCCAATTTAGAGGGAACAATTGCATACAATCTTTAGTCTTATTGTTCGTTATTCATTAGGTTTTCTAGACTACCTATAGATCATTAATATGAGATCTATTCATCCTATTTCGTTTAATATGATAAAGAACTGGTAATATAATGTGATATTAAAAAATATATGGCCTTTCTTGAAATTCACACCATCCCTGTGACCCAATGGCACTCATCGAGTATGACCTAGTGGTTAACTTTTCGAGTTCGAGTCCTGCTGAGTATGCTGAGGAGACATAGGCAAGATCGAAACCCAAGTCAAACGTGGATGGGAATACCTTTTGGAAAGCAAGACTACTTAAACTTCAATGAAATTGTAAGTGCTACTCAATTCATAGTCGAAAAATTTAAGTACCAGTCCTTCATCACCTTAAAAGAAATAGGATGAATGCATCTCATATATTATCCAGTCCTGATTAGTTACTGACCTAGCTCGCCCTGTCTCAATTCGCCCAAGCGGATGCCGCCTTCGCCTATGAACTCTGGCCCAGAGGAATTGGTACGAGGTGCCACACTTGCACTTAGACCCAAATAGAGACCAGTAGATGCCATAATCTCTCCAGGCCGCATCCATACCACAGGACAGGGTGGTCGGCGTGAATAGAACAAGCTGGAATCGTCTGCCGGGAATGAAGAATCAACATACAAATGGTGGCCAGCATGGAGTAACTCAAGACGAAGCTGTTCAAATGCCTCTGAGGGCCCGCCAGCTGAGGAAATGGAGATTGTAGTAGGACCACCCATGATACGAGGACTAGGACTGGCTCCTGATAAAGAAAAAACAGAAAATATAAAGTACTCAAATGTATGCATTGATTGAATTATAATTTTTCATTTAAAATATTGGTGAAATATCAATTACCCTGCATACATTTAAATCATACCTAACTTAAAAGAAAGGTTCCCTTTTAACCGAATTGTAGCAATTACGTTGAATGTCGCATTCATTCCGAGAATTTAAGACGAATTTCTCTTCATAATAACCAAACTGCAAAGCTGGATATCACAAATATTGAACACTGTTTTCGTTTACCATCATTCCATTCGACTTTATAACTAATGTTACTGTAGGAACTTTCATTTTGTATATAAGTTAATGGAGAAGAGATTTGAAGTTCGATCTCACTAGAAAAAAACGGTTGAATCCCATTGTACCTCAGTCACTTGGTTTTTATACGACGTTGATATTGATGCATTCCATAAG